CATTTCGATTTTCATTTGTTGCCTTTTACATTGATGCAGCGAAACAAATCATTCGTTACAGCCCTACTTTAGACCATCATCAGTCAGTAAAGAAAAAAAAATTGCACTGAAATATTTACAACAGTACAGGATTTTGCTTCAGAGAGAATTTAAATGCCTCTATTCCAAGGAATCCTGCAATTTATCAACTGCCGTAAATCAACACAGTGAATCCGGTAAGACACTGCTCAAGAGCACCATCTAGTTTGTGCAGTGAGATCCACCATCACCCTGTGGCTCTCTCAGTTTCTACTCTGATAACGGACACCTTTTTTTTTTTTTTTTTTAAATAATGGATTTAATTATGCTCCATGGGATGAGAACCAAATTGTATTCATATTGACATCATGTGATGCTTTAATTGCACATTAAAACTAATTATACTTCTCATGGCAACTGGTTGCACCAGATCTAATTTAGTAAAACAAGTAATAATATTTATTAGCAAAAGTAGGACAAATATGAGTAGAGGAAGGAGAAAATTCAACAGAACTCACAGAAACGCACACATTTTGTCTGACAGCATGTGTGTTAGTGTACATCTGATTAGCAGCCACTATAAAGCCATAATGCAGAGTGTGTGTGTGTGTGTGTGTGTGTGTGTGTGTATCTTTTAGAGACTTAACACAGACCTTTGACCTGTGGTTCAGTTTTGTCCATCCCATTGTTTTCCTTTCTATTACTTTTTGCATATCAGTTCATTGTAAAGGCTCTCCTTCTCTCACTCCATTTGTTCATCAGCTCTTTTATCCTCCCTTTTCCCCCTCACCCTGTTTTTTGATCTCTGCCTTTAACAGCCTTTCCATGGCTTCCTCTGTGGCCACATCCAAAGGAAGTTCCCCCTCGCTGTTCACCGCTCCCACCTGTGCGCCGTGCTCTATCAGGTACCTGCAACACGGACACAGAGGACAAGGTCCCAAGGGCTGAACATTATAATACACACACACACACACACACACACACACACACACACACACACACACACACACACACACACACACAAAAGTTGGACATGGTTTTCTTCATTATGTCTATTTAATGAAGAAATAGTGGAAGTCAGTATAATATTCATATTATTTTATACCATTTCAGAGTAATGATAAAGACATTAACAGTATAAATAGCACATTATAAAATCAGGAAGCGTGAAGTGACTAAAGTGTTAAAGTGAGAAGTGTTTAATATTTTAAATTCTTAACAATCTTCCTGATGAAGTGTTGCGCACTCTATTGCTTTACCAGTTTCAGCCAGAAGGCTTTTCATATAGTTCCCCACAACAGCGAGACAGTCATTTATATAGGGTATAAAGATAGAGCCTTCTTACTTAAGTCAGTGAGACTTAATTTAGAGTTTTGGGCAATGCCCTGTGTTTCAAAAGAGGTGCCATGGCACCATTAGATAGCTAGATAAGCGCAGAACATGTATTCATGTAAGTAAACAACATACTGGCCCTATTTATCTCAGCCATTATGTTGCTACAAACACATTTATGCCACAAGACATCCTCGTACCCAATCATTTAACATAAATTATTAGTTTTATTATTATTGGAAGCAAGAACGTCAGCTAACCCCCTCACCCCCCTTCCAAATATCCCAAAATGATGCGGAGGTGGGCTAGTTCTAGAAAAAATGCAGTAGATTCAGGTATATCAACAAATGTCCCTGGTGTTGCCCACTGCTAGCTGGCTAAGTGTAGCCAGATTTAAATTTGGATAGCTGGACTCCTCGCGTATGCACGTTTCAACAAAGGGACTCTGTCAGTCGGTGAGAGAAAATATAGCTTCTAGGCTGGCTCACTAGGCGGTCTGGCAAAAACTACTTATTAAAATAACTTGCTGCATGCTCCTGCAGTGATAGTCTGCACCGCCCAGCAATGCGATTTTCTATGTCTGATCGTTTGCCGAGGCACCAACATTTTCAAGCATGTTTGATTTTCTCTGTGAAGGAACACGTAACGTGGACCCCTCTGCGAGTAGGTGCAGGTACATCGATGAAAACCAACCAATGAGAGCAGGAGAGGAAAACGAGTTTATCTGCGCAGCAGATCCCTGAATCCAGTTTATCATCCATCTAGGTGTGTGGGAAGGTGAATTGTAGCACAATGCAATTGCTTCTATAAGAAATTATTTTGCGTGTCATACCCAAATGGTTCTTATGGGTGTTCCTGGTGGTCTAGCAGCTGAGGCTTGCGCGCTCTCACCGCTGCTGCCCGGGTTTGATTCCCAGGCAGGGAACCAACCCTGCCACCGGGAAGTGTACTCTCAGTGCCGGTCCCCAGCCCAGATAAAGTGGGAGGGTTGCATCAGGACGGGCATCCGGCATAAAACTTGTGCCAAATCAACAACCCAAATGGTTTTTAGGAACAGCAAAAATAAACAAAACATGAGATGATTCCTACTGGTGCATTAAAAGCCAACCTGCATTTCCTCCATCTGTTCTCATATTGCTTTTTTTTCTTGTTTCTGTACAAAATAGTGACAGTCACACAAGTGATTTGAGTAATGTCGCGTGAAAGGGTCAGCGATTCTGAGATTTTCAACGTCATGAAGTGTGCACTCGACATTACCCATAAACCCTCTATGTGCGTCACAACACAAATACACTTCAACGGAAAGTATAAACAAGCCTTAACATGACAAGTACACATACGCACACACACATATCCAGTATCCACACACACAAACAAATAAACACACACACACACACACACTGACTTAGTGATCTGGATGAAGCCACAGGAAGCAGCTGCATGGAGGGGTGTCCAGCCCTCGTTGTCCCCTCGGTTCACTTCGCTACCGCTCTCCACGAGAAACTGCACCATCTCAGCGTTCTCGTCAATGCAAGCCTGGAGAAACAAAGCCACAGAATGGGGTTTTAGATACAAGATCATTTTAGCTGTTAAGTACAGTTTAGCTTTATATCTACAGAGCTTTATTTTAATGCAGGTACAAGTGCAACTTGACTGGTTTTGCTCAGTTCAGAAATGAGTGTGTGCATGTATGTGGATTTTCCTGAATTCGAGTCATGCCCCATTTCTTACAACTCAGGTTTGTGGATGTACATTAATTACCCACCACATCAATAGGGCCTTCGCACTGGTTTAGTTCCAGAACTAAATGCACAGTACTAAAAGTACTGGGCGATTTTGCACGAACTATTTCCCAGTACCATTTAAAGGGTCCCATTCGCACCGACAGTGGACACTAGGAAGTGACGTAAGCCGGTCGACAGCGATGTCATTTGTGTGCGGCATTCAACAATGGAAACAAAGAAGAACAACGTAAACAACCGGAGGATGGAGGACGCTGTGATCGGAGCTGTGTTGCACTTCAGCGTCCGTCCATCTATCGCTGTTCTCCATACTTGTGAAACAAGTTGACACTACAGTATGTTTAAACGGTGTTTTAAATCATGGCGGGTGAGGGCGTTTTCGTACGCGTTTGGCCAATCAACGTCTACTTACGTCACGGATAGTACCAGTTGTGCTGGTTAGACCCTGCTCCGGAGTAGGAGCTAATTTGGTTCTCGAAAAAGGCAGTCCGGTACTAAAATCACGCCCAGTTCCGGAGGTGCGAAAACGCCAAAAAGTGGGTAGTTCCACATTTAGTTCGGGTACTATGAAAAGGTTCCTGCAGTGCGAAAGGCCCTAATATAAACAGGGCACCAACTACTACCTAAAGACAACCAATTGAATCATTTATCTGAGCCAAATAACTACACTGGGTGTCCTAAAAGTCTCCATACAGAGGGGAAATGAACACTTTTTAGCAACGTTTGTTCTAAACTTTTTCATACTTAGTTTATATGATACATATATTTTTTTCCAGACAGTCTCCAAGAATGCCTTTGACAAATGAAGAACGTAATGAAATCATTCTCATGGCTGGTTCGGGAAGCTGTCGCAAGGCAGCGAAGGACTTTAACAGGAAACATGGCAAGCACGTCACACACGACACTGTTGCCAAACTTGCTTACAAATTCAAAAAGACTGGAAGGGTTGCGGACCGGCCGAGAAGTGGACGTCCACGAACATCCACTGATGAAGGCATAATCGACGTGGGGCTGGAAACGTGGTCCCCTGTGTATGGAGACTTTTGGGACACCGTGCATAATCGTTGACCAGGTAAAATGTCACGGCATCGGTGATGTTCCTCCAGTGCTTACACGTTTTCTCATAAGAAGTGCTTTTTCCAAACACATTAGCTGTTACTGTTTGCTTTAGCCATGTTTCTGTTAGACTCACGTGTGCTCCTGTGTTATTTGAACTTGAGCAAAACTCTTTGGGGTGCCTTCTTGGTGGTTAAACAGGTTCATCGTGTTTCCAAGATGTTGCCTTTGCATATTTTGCAAACAACCGTCGTTTGTGCTGTTTCCATACTGCTGTGTTGGCAAACAAAACGAGGATGAAGCGTAAGTTAAGGAACTGCAAGTTGCAAGCTGGACTATAGAGTAAAGTCTGGTTCTTAAAACAACTTGGGAGCGTTTTCAGCTCCACAGACAAAATGTGTTTAGCATCACGGTCCTCTGTAAACACAGATCGTGGGGGCATTTTGATCATTCGTGATCTAAAATCATCATATCGCCCACCTCTAGCTTAATAAGACATGGTGAGTGAACCTCTACCAGTTGGTTGAGATGGTAGAGGTGTGTTTGTTTGATTACCAAAGTGTATGAGAAGAAAGAGTGACATTTGTTGCAGGTTATGAATTCCCTTCCTCCAAGAAGGACTGTGTGTTGAGGACCAAGAGCCACAGCACAGAGAAATCATTTAGCAGAAAGTGGGGGAGGCTACACAATATCCGACCCTTCTGAAACACAGAATGTTCTAGTAACAGATACAGTTAAAACTGTTTCAGTGCTTCATACAGGTAGGAAAGCTGAGCTATGACCTGCTTTTTTTCTTTCATATCAGCACAAAAGTTGCTCAGCACCAAAGCTCCATAAAGCGTTTAGAGGAATTTGTGGATGACTCAGTGGTTAAGGCATTGGACTTCTGATTGGAGGGTCGTGAGTTCAAATCCCGGCACCACCAAGATGTCACTGCTGGGCTCTTGAGCAAGGCCCTTAACCCTCAACTGCTCAGCTGTATAAACCGTAGTCGCTCTGGATAATGGCGTCTGCCAAATGTAAATGTGTAGTGACAGACTGGAATACTGGAAAAAGACTTCAACTGTCCTGTTTGGGTGAGTCTGTGCCCACGACAGCCTCAGATTCCTGTTCTTGGCTGCCAGGAGTGGAATCCAAATGTGGTCTTCTGCTATTGTAGTTTAACTGGTGTGTCAGGTCTCAGCAAAACGACCACCCCAACTCGCATCTCAAAAGTTAAACAAAAAGACATGAAACTAGTCCAAAAAAAGGTCAGGCACTGGAAAAGGAGATGCACACGCTCACTAAAAATAGGCGGTTTTCGAAAATGGGAAAAAAGACCAGCTGACCAGGTGCTGAGAAAACATTCCTCACACCATTACACCACCAGCAGCAGCCTGAAATGTTGGCACAAGGCAGGCTGGGCCCCTTAATATCAATCGAGCATCTTTTGAATGCCACAATGTATCAGAGTTACGTTGCTGGCCATGTGCATCCCATTATGGCCACAATTTACCAATTTTATAACGGCTTCTGCCATGTCACAAAGCACAACTCGTCTCAAACCGGTTCTGTGAACATGACGTTGAGTTCAGTGTACTTCAGCGGCCTTCACAGTCACCAGATCTGAATCTAGCAGAGCACCTTTGTGATGTGGTGGAACGGGAGATTCACAGTATGAATGTGCAGACAAATCTACAGCAATGATTTGATATAATCATGTCAACATGGACCAGAATCTCAAAGGAAAGTTTCCAACAACTTGTGGAATCCATGCCATGAGGAACTGAGGCTGTTCTGATAGCAAAAGGTGGAGGAGTGTGGTTTGGGGTGGGGGGGCTGCCTAGTATTAGTGTGGTGTTCCTAATAAAGTGGCCAGATACACTCACTTAAGACAGTTTAACACTGCAATTTAGTTTTTACATAACTGTGAATAGAACTGTGATAGATGTTTTTATGCAAAATCTTGAATTTGCTTCAAAAAGTTTGAACACAAATGCAAGAAATAATTTTTAAAAAATTATCCAATTATTTCTTACAATTTTTTTTGGACTAAATGACACCTTTGCACATGTGCTCTAGATCTCTCTGTGACTGCGTCTGGCTCTTTTGATTAGGTCATCTTGTTGCACCGCAACCTTTTCCAAATATTTGCATAACAGTAGCTGATATAAACACACAATGATTTGCATTTTCTTTGTCCGGGGCTTGTGTTATAGGTCCCATGAATCAAGAGGCATTTCTAAGAAATCCGCACACTAGTGATTATACACTATACGGCCAAAAGTATGTGGACACCTGACCATCACACCCATATGTGGTTCTTCCCCAAACTGTTACCACAAAGTTGGAAGCACACAACTGTATAGAATCTGTC